TAGCTCCGATGATATTTGATCCGATCCCGGTGATTTATTCTTTAATTTGTCCACTGCTGTTCTAATCTCTGCTATTGTTGGTGGACTCTTTTCTCTGTTGTCTGCTTGGTCTAATGGTATATCAGGGTTCATCTCCGTCCTATTCACCCCAAGATTTTCCTTAAAATGTTCTGTCCATCTTCTAAGTATCTCTTGCTGTTCTGTCAATATATTACCCTCCTTATCTTTACACATCGTTGTTCTCGGTTTGAACTCTTTTCTGCTTTTGTTGAGTTTCTGGTAAAATTTTCTTGTCTCTGTTGGTTTACTTAATTCTTGTAGTTCTTGAAGTTCTTTGTTGATATATGCTCTCTTCTTTCTTCGGTGAATTTTCTTTTCTTCTTTACGTAGTTGTTTATATTCTTCCTCTGCTTGTCGGGTTCTGTGCCTGTGTTGCATCTGTAGATATGCTCTGTTTTTTCTTTCTGTTATAGTTTGACATTCTTCGTCAAACCAGTGATTCGTTCTTGTTCTTCTTTCTTTACCTTGAATGTTGCATGTACCAAAAAATCGTGTCTTTTTTCGAAGCTTATGTCGTCTTTGTTGTGCCGTCCTATTTCGAGGAGTGTGATTGGGTTTTTAACATTTTTATGATTTTAAAAGTACTGGGGAGTTAGCCCAATGCCTTAACCCCCAACCTGGAGAACCAGGAGTTTCGGTTCAGAGTCTTCCTCTCCTAGACGGATTACGGGATCTACCGGTAACGGGTTCCGTCCACCCTTTTTTAATTTTATACGAACCCTAAAATTGGGGTCGCCACTTCTGCCATACACACCGTACCGAAGATGTTCTTCTCCGCCGTGACCCTGGACAAGGGACCCTAATCAGGTACTAGTTTCCCGGGTCAGGAAACTCCTGGATTCTGCGGAAGGCAGGGATTGATTCATTTTTCCTGGTAGGACTGTCCAAAATAGTTCCTACCAAATTCTCGATTCCATCCAATTCAAATTTTCCATACTCAAAATAAAGGCCGCAGTCTAACTTTATTAGAATCTATGAAAATTATTAAATTAAAAACAACAGATATAATTCTGAACGATGAACTTATGAGACTTATGAACTTATGAGAACTTATGAGACAAACAACTTCTCTTTCTCAACTTATTCAGTTGAGGACTATAAAGCGTAGATGCTTATAGTACGAACACATCACTTAGAAAGGTACTCTGCCGAAAGAGCTGTAGTGAAAATAAATTGTAATACATTTTGTGTAAGTGTACAAAACAAAAGATGTCAGTGATTTATTCTTAGATTAAACTATTCCACTTACTATCTTTATGGGCGGTATTCTTCCTAGAAATTGTAGTGGATTTCTGAGAACTTGGCAGTTCTAGTTCTTGTTTGTGGTCCATGTAATATTTGGCAGTTCGTTGGCTGTTGTCGCCGATTGAAGGATCGGCTCCAGCGGCTATGAGAAGTTTTTGAACAGAGTTCGGATCTTTGCACATCGGTGTGTAGTGGTAGGGGGTTCTGCCCTCCTAGAAAAATATGAAACATTTTAAAGTTATCGATTTTTTTATTATTTACAAATTCGCATCAATCTAAAGGTTATTAGCAAGAAGAAAATCTTTACTGTGAAGTAACAATTTGCACCAAGTGCTACTTCTGGCTTTGTTTTTCGGGATAGGATCTTTTTTCGCACTACCTTCAAGGTCCGTAGCCAAACTTAAACCGCTAAAAATAATATGGCTGATATTTTTTATCTTGTAGACTACATTGTCATATCAAGTCTTATTGAAATCTGGTCTAAACTCCAATAATATTGAGACAAAGATCTTGTAAAGAAAAGTTTTTGTTTTAAATTACCGTTCTTAGATTTTTTTTGTTAACATCTACAAACCCTCTAGTTATCAAATTACATAAACTCAAGGCCCACAACAGTATATAACTATTTTATCAAGTGGTGAAATTCAAATTAGCAATAAACGCCTCGTCTTGGCTTTGTATCAGAAAGTCAATGTTTTCCGGGGTCAAGGTGTTAATATGCACCATATTGCAAATTCCCCTTACGATCATGCTTATGTTATGCTAATTTTAGGAGCCGTATATTCGTTCAGTCATGACAATGGAGCTCTTGAATGGATATGTTAAATTTAATTACCGAATTTCAGATCGGAGAAGTGTTAGGGGAACAAGTGATACAATTAAACTGGTAAATTCGTAATAAGAAAAGATGTAGGGGAATCCATATATATATATATATATATATATATATATATATATATATATATATATATATATATATATATATATACATATATTGTTAAGATATGTAAAATCAAGAAAAATATTGGTTTGCTTAAAATATTTCAAAGTTCCAAAAAAAATTAAAATAATTCAGATAAGTAGGATAATAAACAACAAACATTTCGAAGAATGAAAGTCTTTTAATTTTGGATTACCTGTATTTAACAAAACGTAAGATATGCATAAATTATTTTCTTTGATAAAATATATTTGTGTGACGTGAATAAGCTGAAGTGAAATCCTAGACAATGAAAACGGGTTTTCCAAATATATTTTTGCAGTAATTAGGACAATAGAATAGATTTTAGAAAGATATGTTTTTGTTAGTTCTTAAGAATTGGTAGGAAAAGAAATTTTGTAAATAAGTTTTAGGAAATTTTATAATTGTAGGTAAAAATTTGTTGTGTTATCGAAATGAAGAAATGGGAGATGTATGACGCGTTTTGATTGGATGAGATTGAAAAAGGTGGGATGGTTGGTTTGAGAATGAGACGTTAGTTAGTTTTGGAAAAAAAATATAGGAGTTGGTTTCCAAGGGTGCAAGGCGAACGGCCGTTGTTCTCGGGTAGTTTCCCAGAGGTAGGAAGCAGTAGCAGTGAAAGTTTGTGAGTTTTCGTGTAGTTAGTGTAACTGACAGAAGCTGATCCAGTAAAATATTGTAAGTTATATTTTCTACTTATATTCCAAGAGTCACTGTTCAGGCCAACGAGAGATTCAGTTTATCGTAAAGAGAAGATATTCCAAGTCATTTTTCACTCAGGCCAACGAGAGATTCAGTTTATTGAGAGGAGAAGAAGCTAGCATAATTTAAACGATTCGTGCATTTGAAGGAGATCATTAAGGACGATAAATTTGCAATAATTTGTCGTAAGATTGCTGATTACCTAGGGAGCTGCTAAGAATAGATAGTGTAGGCTACAAGGAATAACGATTTGGACCAGTCATCATCATAGAGAGATAGTTTTGTTTTTCTGCAGTTTTTCTTTCATTGATAACACAATTTTTACAATTACTTTGGAAAAGATATAAATATTTTGATTAGGACATTTAGAATAATAATTGACAAAAACATTTGAGTGTGAATTTTATTTCATTATTTTTATTTTAATATATAATGTTAGATCCTATATGTTTTTTATTATTCCGATATTCCTTGGACCTTACCTTTCACATGTAATAGCATACACATTGAAGCACGAATATAACCCTGAGATAAGAGAATTAAAAAGTGTGATAGAATCATAGTCATATCATTTAAATAATTTTAATTAATTAATTAATTAGCTAATTAATTGCTTGGCGCACTAAGACTTTGAATATCACAATAATATATATTATTTATATATCCCCAAAGGGCTTAATAAAGCCTTATTTATGACCTGCAAAACCGGCACAATAATACGTCATCAGTGTGGCTATGACACATTGTCGGTTGAGATAAATTGTTTCTTGCAGTACTGGCCCTTTTTAGCTGTACAGTGGAAGTTGAACGCTGTCGATATTAAGTTTCTATGTAATACTGGCACTTTTGAGTTGTGCCACTATAGCAGACACTTTTAGATATTTTTAAACTGTATCAGTGAGAATCTTAATCCTAATCTAACGTAAGATGTGTCACATTAAATAAAAACAATAAATTTATTGTTTTAAAAATGTCAGATCCAAAGGGTTATCAGAAAATAAGTGAATTAATTAGTTCTGATGCCGACCCTCATTACGTGAATGATGTATCGTCTACATTTACAGAGTTCTCTGATGAAAATGTGGAGATTGAAGTACCAGAAGACGTGACGATCAATAAACCTTAAAGTAAGAAAAGGAAGGCTTGTCCGTAACAAAGAAAAGGAAATGTAGAATTTTTTTTAGAAATTCAGGCCGAAAATACACCAACGGTAATCTTGCACATGCTCGCAGTTTAGGTCCATCTTAAAATCCATGTAGACTAAAATGTGATGAAAAATTCACGTTACAAGAAAGAACACAGATCTTTGAAAAATATTGGTCAATGACAAACAAAATTAACCACGAATTTATATTCTGAGATCCATGCATTTTATTTGGTGAACTGTAATCAGAAAAAAAGAGTGTGCAAAAGGTTTTTTTATATTCACCATTGGGGTTACTTGGTGGAGGACTTATTTTCCTGTATTAAGTTACTTAGTGTTTAGTTATTAAAATAAACTTACAATTAGAAATACATATTTATTTTTTCCGAAAATTTTAGCGGCATGCGTTTGGCCTTTTTTCATTTTCTGTGACTTTTCAGATAACTCTAGGTTTATAGAAGCGGATGAGGGATATGGTTCTGGACATTTTGGAGTTTTTAAAATCATTTTTGTACTCTGCATGAAGATGGCGTTAACCAAGAGCTGAAATTCTTAGAGTCGGAATTACGAATAGAAATGGAATGTTCATAAAACCTGTTTTGGCATCTACGATTTGTTTGGCCTATATAAGATTGGTGGCAGTCTGCACAAGGAATTTCAAAAACTCCATGTTGTTCATTTGGATTGTTGTCTTTGATTGATCGGACAAGAGATGAAAGTTTGTGTAGGGGGATAAATATTAATTTTAAAATTTTGTCGATTTTGTAATAATACTTATTAAAAAGAGAAGTTTACTATATAGGCAAATTACAATACTTATTGTACTAGTACATATTTTTATGTAATTTCAAAACCTTGAAGCGAAAAAACATTTTTTTATTAACCTACCGAATCTCTCATATGTACTGTCTGAGGATATTTATCAACCATCCACTTGTATATATCCTTCAAATCGTAATAGACAGCCTTATGTAATAAACCAACCCCACTTTCGTCCTTAGCCATCACCATCTTCCTTTTCTTTTCGGGTTCTTCATCCAAAAGTGATTTAAGCTCGTCCAATCTGTCGCTGTTGACTGCATCGTGAAGAAGTGAAATTTTTGACTAAAAAAAAAAGAAAATGTGTAAATATAAAATATATTTTGCATTAATATCAAATATAGTCTATACAGGGTTTTATCACTCTCATAAAATTTAACGGCAAAAGGAGTTCTTTGATTCTCGTTGTAAGATTTGGTTTTAGATAAAATCCTATTAAGTTTTATTTATATTATATTACTAGCAGACCCGACAGACTTAGTTCTGTCAAATAGATTTGAAATTTGGCAGTTTATTTCTTTAATTCTCCTGAACAGGAGCATCATCATGATGATAGGGCGGTGTGTGAGGCTCGAGTGACCTAAATATCTTCGCCTCGACGAACTTTGGCCACCCTTTTGGACCCACTAAAAACCCCGACTGGGATATCTGCCAGAGAGCTTCAAACTAAGAGGGTAACTTAATTACAAACATTTGTCAAACAGACAATCAAACTAATATTGAAATGGCCTTAATACAATAAACGAATAAGCAAATAGGGAACCTTAAGGCAACCTTAAGGGTACGAACATACTGACGATACATGGATGTGGGCGGTAGAGGTCGTGATCGAGGTTTACATCGATGACGAGCTGAACATACCGGAGATATCTTCCTTTCAGTGTTCTTTGTAGTTTCTAAGGTAATTCTAATAATAATTTCTGTCTAAGGACATGTGTTCCGGAAAAGTTAAGTTTTTTACAAAATACAATTATGTACGTGAGCAACAGTAGTGACGGCAGTGAATGCATGTCTTTAAGTAAAAAGTAGTGGATCATTGGTAATTTTTTAACTTGTCAGCTTTCGGCTCATCCTATAAATCAAAAGAGGCAGTATCTAGGAGAATACCATCATCTATTTAAAGAGCTTAAGAAACATCAGACAGATGTTATGCTTATATGAGAATAAGTCTGGATACATTTCAGCATATTTAGCATACCATCCGTATCTTCAGCGCATGTCACATAGTTTGAAAACCACTAATAAACAGCTCAATGTCCATGTAAAACAAACTCATGGACGTATAAACATAGATGGACTCAGTTATTTACATAAAATTGTGAAGTCAAAATTATTTGAATAGGTCACATTCTCAGCACCTTCAACTGTTGTCACGTTTTGTTTTAAAATTTCTTATTCGCGAGTCGCTGAAAATATTACTCCGTATTTTATACTCTATAGGTGCTATCAAACCAAAATAATAATTCATTGATTATACTAATATATTTAATTGTAATCAAAATATCAAGTGTGCACATAGTGTGCATTATCATTTAATAATAGCGTATAATAGATATCAATCAATTATTTTATATGTAGAAGCACTGAAAACTATTTATAAATGGCAACGGTTGTTTACATTTCTCTGTCTTATGGATCTACGTCAAACTTCAAATGCTGTTCCATGTTTGTTTACTTTTCACAGTAAATGAGGAAAAAGTTATTTTTTGGCTGTATTTTGAGTGATATTTGTGAAAAGTGAAATAAAATAAACGAAATATTTACATCCCGATCTCTCATTTCATTTGTAAGTACATATAATTTACATTATTTAAGATTAGGAAATGAGGAAGCGTGTTTGTTTACATTTTAATAGGCGTACCATTGGGTTTATTCATGTTCATTAATGTATTGAATTCATGAAATTAGTAGACATTTTTAAATTGTAAGTAAACATCATCTGATTAAAAAAGATCTGTTTAGTACCTTTTTAATTTAATATTTCTCATGGATACAAATAAATTAGTGAAATGAATAAAACTCATTTATTTTTCTATGTAGGTTTCCAAATAATATTGACGATCGAACTATTTGGGTAGCAAATTAAGGAGAAAACATAAAGATTTTTTATTGAAGCATTATTTTGATACTATTAAAAAATTAACTTGAATTCAACTATATTTAGTTGTATTAATTTTAAAGCAAATAAAATTGTATTTTAATTTTTCTATAAAGACGTGATTTGTTGATAGTTAAACTCTCGTTTTTTTTAATCCTATGAACGTGTTTTTATACATTATTACTACTTCCAATTTTTAAAATCTGAATAATTACCCGCGAGTAAAAATTCAAGCACGCTTATGCTCATTGCGGAAGCATCACATTCTATCGAAGCTTCAAAACATTGTGTGTTAAAGGTATCTTATTGCTGTGTCCTGTCCATCTATGTTTATACGTCCATGAACAAACTACTTTGTTCTGGCATTGAGCTCGCTGTAAACCACGATGATAGGTCGCGAGGATGAACTGGTGAAACATCCTTGGGATGTGCGATCCCATAAGAAAATGAAGGTTTGTTTTGACATCGATGTATCCACCGCGACCCCCACCGCATACATCCATGTATCTTCGGTATATCCGTAAGAAGCGACACGACTGCAGGGAAGACGTCAAGCGCATTGAAGTGACATTAAAACATTTTCAGAACCAATGTGTGAAGGACTGATACACACAAAGTTAAAAATATTAACATATTACAAACATATTAACAAAAGTAAAATTTTGAATTCGATTTGTATCCATTTTTTATTGATAGGTCTTCAGTAATAAAGATGTCACAGTAAAATAACACAGCTTATCATTTCCTTTAAATCGAAACTAATTACATATCCATTACAACACATTAAAAGTTTTACTAACAATCTATGAATTAGTACAGCAGGAAACGTACGCTGAAGTGGCAATCAACGTTGTCATCGTTATGACCAATATTCAATACGACAAAGGAAAAAAGTTAAAAACAAACAATAAATTATAAATGACTATGGATCAATAAATATGTGTTGTCTTGTTCGAGATATGAACTATACTCGTTTTAATATAAAAAATAAAACACAAAAACGTAAACTAGGAGGTTTCATGTTCAATTCAGCACATGATATATGACGCACTCAATTATTCAAACAAAGTAGAACCTACGCAGAGCCAGCTATCACGATATTTGCGTTTTAACTCTTTAATAGCTACATAGGTACATACACCAAACATCTGTAGATAAGGGGAATAGAAGTACACTTTAATTGGAACTTAAATATTTTTTAATAGATCATAGTTTTGTTGGAGAGATTTACATTGAACTATATTTTATATTGTTTATAATATGTCTATACCAAGAAAACTGCAATCTTAGGTATAATATTTTAAATATTTTCAGAATAGTTTACGCTCCTAATCAATCATATTTCGTAATTTGGTTTAGTTGTCTAAAACTTTTTAGGGGTTAAGAAATGTTGAAAGGTCTTAATATAGATGACAGAAAAATCCAAATCTGCATCCCCGCATAGGCAATATCTTATTGGATGACCAACGCAGGTAAGAGCACAGTGATTGCCAGTATAAACAATCTCTTATTTACTGACCAACAGCTTCGGGCAGAAGAGTAAGTAAGCAGAAAGGCATTTAGTTATATTTTGGCGGATGAACCAAATAAATAGTCAAAGGGATAAGGACACAAAAGGCCATGGAAAATCAATGTATTAAATATTGCCAGGAGAATCACCATGTCATCGACACTTCGCTTGCAAAGCTAATCAGGGAAATCGGAGTCAAATAATCAACAGAAAAGGTGAACCACATTATTACGCGGCTTCTCAGGTCGTAAACATGCGAAACAATTGGATAATCAGAAGTCTGTTCGCACCTGGAAAACTTGACAATGCAATAAAAGAAATGAAAAGAATGCAAATAGATCTCCTCTTCTTCTTCTTCAGCCTGTGTTCGTCCACTTCTGGACATAGGCCTCTTCCATTTGCTTCCATCGATTTCTACTTTTGGCAATTCTCATCCACTGCTTGCCTGCGACTTGTTTGATATCGTCTGTCCACCTCTTCTGCGGTCTGCCTACTCCTCGCCTGTTCTCTCTTGGTCTCCAGTTTGTTAATCTTTGTGTCCATTTTTCGGGATTATCTCTTTGCATTGCCACTTGAGCCTTGCAATACGTTCTGAGACATCAGTAATTTTTGTTCTTTCACGAATGACGTTATTTCGAATCCTGTCTCTCAAACTAATCCCTAGCATGGCCCTCTCCATTGCTCTTTGGGTTGTACTGAGCTGCTCTAAGCTTTTCTTTGTGAAGGCCATGGTCTCCAGTCCATATGTAGTTACAGGCAAGATACATTTGTCATAAACTCTACGTTTTAGACACGTTGGTATATCTTTATTCTTCAAAATAAAGTTTAATTTGCCGAAAGCTCCCCAAGACAGTTGTATGCGTCTTTTTATTTCGGCTATTTGATTTTCTTTGCCGATTTTAATGGTATGTCCAAGATATATATAGTGGTCTACATTTTCAAGACTGACGTTGTCAATAACAAGATTAGTTTGTAAATTACTCATTATTTTTGTTTTCTGAAGGTTCATTTTGAGACCTATTTTATTTGACTGCTGGTTTAATTCCTTCAACATTTGCTCCAGTTCCTTGATATCTGTACTAAATAATACTATGTCATCCGCAAACCTCAAATGACTCAAACGTACACCATCAATGTTTAGACCTTTTTCCTCCCAGTCAAGCTGTTTGAATACATTTTCCAATGCTAAGGTAAAAAGCTTTGGTGAAATAGTATCACCTTGTCTAATACCTTTATCAAGGCGCATTTTTTCAGTTTTTTCGTCTTCATTGATTTTGATGTGGAATGTGGCCTGTTCATAAATGTTTTTAATGAGTGTAGTGTACCGTGAGTCTATTCGAGCATCCTCAGGGCTGACAAAAAGGACCAAGTCTCAATACTATCGAAAGCCTTGTGAAAGTCGATAAATGCCATATGTAAAGGTTTATTATATTCTGTGGTTTTTTCTACTAGTGTTCTGATGGTTTGTAAGTGATCATTAGCGCCAAACCCTTTTCTAAATCCCGCCTGTTCAACCGGTTGATATAAATCAAGTTTTTGTGTTATGCGGTTGGTTATTATTCTTGTTAACAATTTGTATAAGTGTGACAACAAACTTATAGGTCTGTAGTTTTCAATATTAGTAGTGTCTCCTTTCTTGTGTAAAAGTATTATTTCGGCGTTTTCCCATAGGCTGGG